GCTCATACAATGCTCATACAGTGCTCTCACAGTGCTCATTCAATTCAGACAATGCTTATTCAATTCACTTCAAGACTGGCAAAAGTACAACTGCGCCACCAAGCCGTAAATTTTGTGTAGACCCTTCGGCTATCGCGTGTGCGATTGCTTGTCTATCTGAATTTGTATGTATGGACGATATGTTCTTATTATGAGTTTGCCAGTGAGCGCAAATTTATTCGACACTGTATAAATCATGGCGAATTACTAACTCCCAGAATGCATTTCGCTTCCACAGAGGGATAAATCGTGCGCGACATAAGTGCGACAGACATAGGCGCGGCGGAATAAGTGAAAAATCACTATCCAAAGGCATGCAGCACGCTGACTTAAAGCGATGACGTCACAGAATACGTCGTCGCTTAAAAATATCGAGTAAAGCACGCACTCAGTCGTAAATCACGGAATGTGAAAAGCGCAGGTATTTCAAATGAAATTCGTTGAATAGTTTTCAAGAAGTTGACTCTTGAAGTCCTTTGTGATACCACTAAAATACCCAAGGAAAGACAGACCATGTGTCTTCAGGAGCTTGAAATTCATCGCCGTGTTTTAAATGCACAACGTGTCTTATTCTCAGTTGTGTTGGCATTTTACAGAGCCAAGCCCTGTAAACTGAAGGTGCCAGCTGTTTCCCAAGATAGGCACGGAAGGCGTGCTCGGACTATTGGGTGACAACACTGGGACTGTAATACGATGGGAAGAAAATTGTGAAAAAGCCAAAGATATAAACATAATAATAATTCTGATAAATTTATCAATTCCGTCTTGAATTCCAAACTTGATTTGTTACCCACAATGTAAGGATTTGAGTTAGAGACAAAACTAGAGGGCCAGAGCAATGCTTTTTTCTGACTTTCCCTGGATAAAAATAAAATTTCCCTAACCAAATAAATAACAGAAATAGTAACGGCTTATAGCCTGCCCTGGCATCCCTCCTTTCCACCCATTCATTACGACTGATAAGTTTTCAACCAATTTTTCTTGTTCATAGGGAAAACGTTTTTTCCTGACCATTTCCTGACCCCAGACCTTGCGTGTACTTGCGTTGACTTGCGACTTTGCTCGAGATCAAATTTGCACGCAAGTCGACGCAAGGCCACCCGACGCAAGTTGAGTGACATCCATTCTTTGTCATAGCAACCTTTTAGCCTGTGAAATACTAATCCCGAAGCCTTAAAAGGGGAATTTTTTGCGACTTGCGTGTTCTTGCCAGGAAAGTTGCGAGCCCGTTTGGCCACTTAACGCAAGTCCCTACGCAAGTTCAACATGCGCCTACATGCGACTACATGCGAGTCCTTTTGGCCAGGGCTTTAATCTGCTTTTGAACACAGCTCCCATGATAAGGAGAGAAGATTTGGACCAGGAAGACCAGGAAACTAGGTTTCATTACCTCCGCGAATAATTTCAATTTCGCCAAAATTACGGTGGATGTGGACGGCAGAAAAGACTATTTTCCGGTGCACGAATTCTCACTGTTAATAATCTACAGGAGGGCTTTGAACCCTACGTTGCTGACAAACCCAAATGAATTTTAAAATTAATCAAAAGGGTCTCTGTATTTACGATCTAACATGGCTATTAGTAACAAAGCCATTATTCAAATATTATCCATTCTGCCAACAAGTCCTTTAGTTACAAAGAGAATCGAAGTTTCTAGCTTTCTCTTACAACATTTTCAGTTTATCTCGATCACTAGCCAGTTATGACTCAACTATAATTTTCAAACTCAGTTTATTCAATTTCTTCAATTTTTATACAAAAAAGAGTTTACAAATAGCATGTATTAAATTAAATATAATTATCAACTGCGTGTTTTGTTTACTGTTGATAAAAATTCTTAAGAAGTAATTCTGGATTTATCTCCAAGGCCAGTCCGAAATGGCTCGAAATGGAAACATTAAAATGAAGTGGTTAAAAACGACAAGGAGCTTTGCACCACCCGTTCACGTGATACAAAATCAAGCATGCTGGGACACAAGTTAGGCCTCGTCCACACTACGCCAAAGAAATTTGAAAACGCAGCTTTATTTCTACGGTTAGACCTACCGTCCACACTGATCCGTCACGAAAACGAAGCTTTTTTTTCAAACGCGCTTTTCAAACTGGAGGAATTTGAAAACGCCCGCTTTTTCGTTTTCGTGTCGAAGGAAAACATTTTGAAAACGGAGCTTTTCAAAAACGAAGGCGTCACGATAGTCATGTGATTTCCCTGATCGAGTTTTCGTCACAAATAAATCCAAAATGACCAGTAATTGTAGCGTTTTTAAATTCTTCCGATGTAGTGTGGACGGAAAACATTTGACGCGTTTTCAGAGTGAACCCTCCGTTTTCAAATCCCTCCAGAGTAGTGTGGACGAAGCATTACACAGTGGCACGTCTAAAACAAAGGAAAGTCCAGCAGTACGCACGCCTTTTTCAAGACTATAAAAACAGTCGAAGCTCAAGTGAGTGGGTCACCCTTGGAACCAAGGGCCTTCTTGCACACTGTAACGAGAGGGTTCCGCTTTTGGGAATGATTTAGATCATGGATGTGTCCGCATAAGATGGGTATAAGATTTCTTCGGAGGTCGTTTTCACTGTGTGGGATTTTTCTTTTCCTGAAATACATAGCAAACACAGCCTCTATCGCAATGATTTACGATAATTTACAGAATTTCAAGACGAGTCGTTTGGTTTTTTCCTATGCGAGCACTCGCAGTGATTTTCTACTTTGTTCTATTGACAAAATCAAGCGTGAGGTTGTTCAAGTGGAACATTTTTTCTGCCCAGCAGTTTTGGGAGTGTTCACTAGATGAGAGCTGGCTACCAGGCCATTCACACAACAAGTTTTACATTTTGTGATCCTGCGAGAAAAAAAAAAAAGAATATAAAAGCCTTAACAAACATATCCTAAAACGAATCATTGCTCTAAAGTAAAGTGATACACTTTTAGTGTTTGCTGTTGCTGTAAGTTTGGCATGGGGAAGGAAAACATGATTTGCTCCAAATTGGCTCAGGGTTTCTCTGGACCTCACGGACTGTCTAATGTTAGGTTTTCACCTAACAGCAAATAGCGTTGCATATGTTTCCCTGGCGTCCCATACATTTTTTTAGAGGCGGCACGAAGGAGTAAAATCATGAATTACAACACATTCTCATGAGCCTTACCGTGATGGAAGGATAAAGATTCTTTTGTAACTCCACTCCAAATTGCGCCTCCCACGGTTCTTTGATCACTTTCACCAGGGAGGAGAGGGTAGTGACGGTTTCTGTCTTCAGTATCCACTGGCTCTCAGCGCTCTCCACTGGCGCGTCCTGAACATGAACAGAACAACATTCCATCAATATATTCATTCTCCTTACTGTCTTAAATACATCCTATAAAATTATCTTGAGAGAATTTGGTTCTACGTCAACTTATCGTTCTGTCTTATTGTTATAACCTGAATTCCTCCCACCCTCCCCTCTCAGTGTTCACTTCCAAGCAAAATAACTAAAAGTACACTACTTGCAAAAAACTTCGGACGAAAAAATTTCGGATTTCGAACAAATTTCGGACAACAACTTCGGACACGTTGCTGAAACTGACAAAGCTAAAATAAATTTAGGTATCGAAAACATTAGCTAGACTGAACAACCTCTGTAAAATGATAGTTTTACTACAGCCTCAAGGTTTTACGATGAAGCCGTTACGTATGTCAGAAGTGTCTCGGCAAGAGTTCGCTCCATAATGCACGGCATAAAGGAAACTAAGAGCTTTAGAGCTACTTCGAAGCTTTATACTGAGCTGTAAATATTTCGGACGCTTAAAGAATTCAGACAGTTTTATTTCGAACATCCTTTGTCCGAAATTTAAATCGTCCGAGATTTTTTGCACGTAATGTAATCTCTCTGAGGGGAGGGGAAGGTGGAAGGGGTATCGTGTTGTCGCAGGTGGGTTTATTTAGCTCTGGTGAGGTCTCACCTCGTCTGATATACTGATCGCCATAAAACAAGGGTCATCTTCGTAGAAATCCTATAAAAACAACAAACGACAATTGTCAGTAAATCTTGCACAAATGACGAATATTTGTTTGAGTAATCAATTGGTGACTAGTAAAATAAGGAATACTTTCACGCGGGTTTTGTGAACATTCTTAAAAAAAATGTTATTAGAATTTTGACAAAACGTTAGTGAAATTATTTCCTAATTTCACGAGTATACCATTTGATTACCTTTTAACACCTTGGGTGACAAATTACGCTTACTGTCCTGGGTTTTTGACTTGTTAATAGTATTGACAAATTTCACGCTTGACGTTGCCATGGCAATTTTGTAATTTCACATGTGAAATTATAAATCAACCCTGAAAGTTTTACGCCAAAATTGAAGAGTGATTTGTCATCCATGATATAAGTAATAAAATACATGTAGAAAATATGCTTCATTTCACGAAACCAGACGATGAGAACGAAATAACTATAGGCAGTACTGTAGTGAGTGCAGTTTGACAAGTTTGTCTTTATCGTAATCCTCGCCGGTGTTATTCATTCCCACCTCCCACGTGTTCTGTGAAGCCACTTGTAGTTACTAACGTTTTTCTTCATTTGAAAGTTTCTACAAAAGACCGCAAATGGGAACTTATATTGAACACGTTCAGGTGATTGAAAAAAAACCAAAAAAAAACCAACCCTTTCACAAGCAAAGCGTGCAACATACCAAGCTTGTGACGTCAGTGATTTTGTGTCTTGCTAAGCGCACAAACGCAGGGCCCTTGGGATGCTGAGGCAGGTCAGTGTACCGAGGAATGGGCCACTGAGGGTTCTGTTGGACCAGGGCGATATGAGACCGCGATACGATCACGCTGACAGCATTCAAACTGGAATCTAAAGAGCACGAAGTTAGTGAATCAGTTAATAGTTACGTAACTGCGACAACTTGGCGATTAATTTTTAAGTAGATGGAAAAATGACTTTATCCTAAAACAGTCTCACTGTTACCCGAAAAGTAACCCATCTGAGATATTGTCTGGGTGTATCACCAAATTCAACAAGATCAAAAGAAACGCAGGGTAACTTAATTATTGCAATGGGCAAGTTTCTCTTCAAACATTTACGCGACAAGACTCAAATGAAGATGTTTCGTCTTGCGAGAGCATTTCTCTTACCGGGACAATAGTTGTCTGTTCCAGATCTTCGGTTGATTGGTCGTAACGAGAAAAACGGCAAGAGAGAACGTCTGTGGTCATTTGTTTTTAGCGTGTGAGCAGGATCTCTAGTCCAGGATGGGGCGAAGAGCGGTCGGAAAGAAAGAGGGTAGAAGAGACAGGAAGAGGGAAAGAGGAGGGAACCCCCGCACAGTTCCCCCCTCGGCCACTTCATTCTCAGCTAGTTCCTTCTCGGCTCTTCCAGCCGCGGTCAGACCCTTTCAACCGGCGCCTAATGCAGGCTGATTTGTCTTTCGCTTTCGATTCTCGCAGTAAAAGCCCGCCCCCGTTTTTTCTCTCGTCTTGTCTCGTCACTAGCTTCTCCTAAATACCGTTTGCAGTAAACAGGCACTCAATGAATCCACAAAAAAGCGACAATTACGGAGAAAAGGTAAATTGTTTCGTGTTTCGGGTCTGACAACACACCACAAGACACAGGTCACTTACGAGGTTTTTCAGTATTTGAGCAGCGATGAGCCATTACAAACAACACAATACTTGTGTCCATATCTGGTACACTGTCCCCTGCTAATAAATCGTCTCCTAACTCGCCTCTCTGTGAGCAAAAGGAATAACGTTATATATCAACATTAACTAATCAGGATCGACTACTGACTGATACAATTGATCACTAAAAAATACTTCACTTTATGAAGTAAATAACTTGACTAGGATATTTTGGAATAGTACAAAGGATGTTGGAGAAGATATGAAAAATATATCCCAGTCTGAACTGCTGACATGTATTTACCTCGGTGTTAAACCTGTAATACTGATCTTTATCTTCAAACTGCTGTTCTTTTGATACGTGTTCCAGAGCTCCCACGTCCAGAAGTCTCTGACCAATATCTACTGCCTAAAAAATCAACGATTTATTGCATCAGCGAAAACACGAGCAAGCAAGCGTAAGAGACAACAAATGAATCAATCAGTCCGTCCGTCCGTCCGAGCGTGCGTGCGTACATGCGTGCGTGCGTCCGTCAGTCAGTCAGTCAGTCAGTCAATCAAATTTACATAGTTAAAAAAAGTTACCTCATCTCTTGTTTCAACCTCTTTTACTTGTACCAACCAGTCCACAAATTCTCTGCCCACGAAGCAGCTGGAATAGCTTCTTAACAGACTCTGCAGTAAACAAAGGAGAAATAAGAATGAGAACAAAAAAAAACGAAGGAAGGGACGAAGGAACGGAGGTAGGAAGGCACAAGCCACGAGGTCAAGAAGCCACGAAGGAACAAAAGGACGAAGGAACGAAGACACGAAGAAACGAAGGAACGAAGACACGAAGTAACAAGAGAACGAGAAAACGAACAACATGAGAGCTAGTCTGTTACTGAACGCTTACTAACCTTACGATCTTTAATGATTGGAGGATCAGTGAAATACATGACTTGCTGATGAAGACGCTCACCCTGAAGCAGACAAATTATGTGATAAAATCAAATACAAGATACGTTACCACGACTCTCAGGGCTCTCAACGAACCGACCACAACACCAGTCACTGGTATGTGGCCTGTTCTGATCACCAATTAACAATGTACCTACATTGATTGAATGGCTAGCTCCACGAGCGGGCAAGAAGAACCATATCGTGTGCTGTGATTAGCTATCAGGGCGGGCAAGATAGAGCCATCTTCCCCGCTCGGGTTTACTCCCTATATCCCGCAAGAAAATAGTGTTCTTTTTCCAGACAATAAATTACTTATTGACCCAGCTTGTTCCGTCAAAATGACTGGATATTGGTCAATAACCCATATATACAGATTAGGCTGTCGATAGTTGCGACTGTGCGTTTAAAAAGTACTGAATTGGAAAAAAAAATCGTTACTTACCATAGCAATTGGATCTTCCACTTTCATTCCAAACACTTGAGACCTAAAATAAATGTGATCATTTTTTACTGTTGATAAAAGGCGTGGAGATGTGGTATATTGCATTGTACGATAAAATACTACAATAAAAGGCGCAGTCAAGGTCAGAAACAGAGCTGAAATATAAACCGATCAGATCTGAATGACAAAAGCATACTGCAACCGGCAAGCGCGACTAAAAATGTTACAACTGGAGGAGAAAATAACAAAATAATTATAACAACTTTATTTAAGACTGTTCTGCTAATNAAAAAGTTACCTCATCTCTTGTTTCAACCTCTTTTACTTGTACCAACCAGTCCACAAATTCTCTGCCCACGAAGCAGCTGGAATAGCTTCTTAACAGACTCTGCAGTAAACAAAGGAGAAGTAAGAATGAGAACAAAAAAACGAAGGAAGGGACGAAGGAACGGAGGTAGCAAGGCACAAGCCAGGAGGCCAAGAAGCCACGAAGGAACAAAAGAACGAAGGAACGAAGACATGAAGTAACAAGAGAACGAGAAAACGAACAACATGACAGCTAGTCTGTTACTGAACACTTACTAACCTTACGATCTTTAATGATTGGAGGATCAGTGAAATACTTGACTTGCTGATGAAGACGCTCACCCTGAAGCAGACAAATTATGTGATAAAATCAAATACAAGATATGTTACCACGACTCTCAGGGCTCTCAACGAACCGACCACAACACCAGTGACTGGTATGTGGCCTGTTCTGATCACCAATTAACAATGTACCTATATTGATTGACTGGCTAGCTCCCCGAGCGGGCAAGAAGAACCATATCGTGTGTTGTGATTAGCTACCAGGGCGGGCAAGATGGAGCCATCTTCCCTGCTCGGGTTTACTCCCTATACCCTGCAAGAAAATAGAGTTCTTTTTCCATACAATAAATTATTTATTGGCCAAGCTTGTTCGGTCAAAATGACTGGATATTGGTCAATAACCCATATATACAGATTAGGCTGTCGATAGTTGCGACTGTGCGTTTAAAAAGTACTGAATTGGAAAAAAAAATCGTTACTTACCATAGCAATTGGATCTTCCACTTTCATTCCAAACACTTGAGACCTAAAATAAATGTGATCATTTTTTATTGTTGATAAAAGGCGTGGAGATGTGAGATATTGCATTGTACGATAAAATACTACAATAAAAGGCGCAGTCAAGGTCAGAAACAGAGCTGAAATAAACCGATCAGATCTGAATGACAAAAGCATACTGCAACCGGCAAGCACGACTAAAAATGTTACAACTGGAGGAGAAAATAACAAAATAACTATAACAACTTTATTTAACACTGTTGTGCTAATTGGGAATACTCCAAATAAATAAACAAATATTGCAAATAGAATATAAATTATTAAGAATCCCAACTGGTAGGAGGCTGACCAGTTGGCTATTTACACAACGCGGTGGAGGAGTTGAACTCGGGACTAACAAGAACAAATCCAGATAGCGGAAGGAAGGAGGATTTGAACCAGGGACCTCCAGATTTCAAATCCAGCGCCCTAAACCAATAGGCCACGCCGCCTCCACGAACATGGAACCACGTGTTTAACCGGCATAGACTGCCTTAGCTTACCTGATATGCTGCAGTGTTTGTGGATGAGGCGGCATTACCACAACCGGTCTAGACCCAGCTTTACTCTGCGCTTGTTGGACGATATCTGCACGGATCAAAGAAACGAGAAATGAGCGAAAAACATGACAGTGCAATGAAGGCATATCCAGCTCTGTAGGACACACTACGGTGAAGAGCAGAGATAAAAAAGAGAAAAAATATGACTGAGGGAAGAGAAAATGAGGATTACTTACCTATAAAAGAGCTGAGAAATTCTTCGCAGCGATCTTTTTCACGGACAAGAAAATCGTAACATCCACCACGAGTTGAGAATTCAAGACGAAAACTCTACATGGAAAAATGGAGGAAGTTATCTGTTGTCAGTAAAGTGGCCCACACGGGTTGCTGAAACTTGAGGAGACTAGGAGCAATGCTACAACCGCTGGGAGTGGTCTAACACAAGTTATTGTTCAGACTTTTCTCACGTGTCCCTAACAATACGTCAATATTCATTCATACACCTGGGGGAGAGAGTGGGGGGAAGACACGGTGAGAAGGAAGTTCCTTGTCCGAAAACGCAACACAGTGATCCCAATCAAGGCTCAAACCAGGTCACTCGATCCAGATTCCAGTGTGTGCTAACCATTAGGCTTCCATTTTGCACGAAACTCGCGACAAGAACAATAGAAGTCACGCAAGTATTCACTGTAATACAAACACGGTCACGTAAGTCTTGATTGTAACACAAACACAGTACGTTTGCTCACCTGGCTACCCAGTCCAGAGTCGATAAACAGCAACTCAGTTAAAGGATGAGACACTAATGGTGCCAGACATTCATCAGGCGTTCCACTACAAAACAACACACACAGAAACTTAAAGACAACACTGTGGGAGGCAGTGGTACAACAGTTGACTACTAAGATTGCCTGAATGCTAAAAATGACCGCGCAAGAGCTTACTGAATAAAACACCCCGCGCCATTTGTCTGGTTTTTTTCCGCTTGTGGGTATAAACAACTTGTGTGGTTTAGTGGTAAATTATTGGAGCCTAGTTTAAAAATGTAAGTATGCTGCTGTAGGTCAGTCTTTTCTCTTAAGTTCCGACATGTGTTTATCGGCGATCGCGAACGCAAAAGGGAGGTGTCTCGTTCCAATCCCTTTTAGGTTAAAGCGTCTCGCTTCATAATCTCTGCCGAAAAAAAAAACAGTAAATCAAATACCCTATCATGGAGCCGAGAAATTAAAAAACATTTGAAGTTGGGGCAATTTTCTTACCCCCGACCGTACAAAAATTATAACTTACCTTCCTCTGAGGGAAAATTTACAGATATAGAACATGATGTTGGAGACGATCATTAGACATGGAGTTTCTTCTGTGCTGCTATAAACGACAACTGGAGCCTAAAAAAAATACCAACAACAACCAGTGTAAGTTAAAAACGTCATAACTGAATCACTACAGTACAGAGAACAACTGTCTGTCTCATCATAGAGCAGTGTTGTAAGCCATTTCCGTGTTACATTTGGCCTCTGTATCAAAACGAAATGCGAAACCATTGATATGAAGATGTGTTGCGCCTACAGGTTCATTTTCATACAAATCAAACTCATTTTCATATGAAAAGTTTTGGACGAGGACTCGTTTTGAAAGAGAGGCACAAGGTAACCCGAAAATGGCCTATTGAATGCTTTGACTCTTTTTATGTTAAGCCTACAAACATTCCTGCAGAGAAAGCGAAAACATATCGGCTTTTTTGACCAATTAGGGACAGAATCAAAATCACTAGCGCGGTTGGCGACTTGGTTTTCGCGCGTTTTTTCCTTGCGCTTACCATACTTACTGCTTAGCACCGGTTCTATGTTTTCCCGCGCTTGGCAGCTGTTGCATGTACGTGGTTTTTCTTCAAGTTTTGATTGGTTGATAAGATTATTTGCGTTAGTTGAGACTATTCTTATTCATCTGGGCCCTTAGCAATACACCTAGTACGTTACGCTACTGTTACTACTAGAGGTAGCAATAAGATGACAAAAAACTTTGCTTCAACAAAATCTTTGTCTCAGGATCATTTCCGCGACTTCTGAGACTGACACAGACTTCAAGGGCTCAGCATGACAGGCAACTTACATTGATTGAAAATCTACTGAGCAATTTCCACTGAGGTAATCGTGTAACAAACTAGAACACAGCACATTTCACATAAACATCTCACCTTCAACAAGCAACGAAACTCCTCAATGCTTCCCCACCGAAACAACGACACCTCAAAATATAACTTTAACTTGTGATCACAGCTTCTAAACTCATCCACAGACAAGCGGAAGCTCAGAGCGACCTTCGGTTCCATCAGACTTGGAGTTGACGCCCGTGAGCTTGACCTAGAGCTGCTTCGCGACTCCTGAGAGCTGTCGCTGAGACTGTTCCCTGGCGTGATTCTGCTGCCTAACCGGTTTATCAAGTTGTTTAAAAACATCTTTGGAGTCGGAGATCTTTGCAAACTCGACGACAACTTGACTTGCTGCGAAGAGTTTTCCGACGATTTAGGCGTTCCTTTGTCCGTTTTCGCATTTTGACTGGTTTTTCTTTGCCCAGAAGAAGAGCTTCCATTTTGTAGCTTCTCTGAACGTTTCGTTGCCGAAGCGCTTGGCGAGTCTTTTAATGCTACATTCATGCTAAAGGCGGGGAGAGACTTACTCAAAAGCTCAGCATATTGGCCAGAACAACTTAACTCGCTCTCAGGTGGTGTTGATTGACCACTGTCAATCATTTTCTGAGTAGGTTTATTTATATTTGAAGAAGCGCCTATTGAAGTTTGAAAGTTCTCACTGTGTTTCTCAGATGGCGTGGAGGAAGAATATTGTGTTTGTGGTGCTGGATACAATTGAGAAGACCGTTTCAAAGAATTACTCAGTGCACTTGTCCTCACCTGAGGAGAATTTCTGTTTTTAGTCACAAATTTTCCACTTCTGCTGTTCACTTTGTACTTTCCAGAGTCCTTGACTTCGAATTTTTTCTGAACCTTTTCTTTTTCCGCGGGAGATAAATCTTTGCCATTTTCATTTAAAACTTTGCCCGAAGCGTTGGAACATAAGTCGGGCACCTTTGCAGGCCGATCCAATGTTCCTTTTGGAATAACATCAGGGTTTTTCTCCGTTTTAGTCTCATTTTCTGCTTCCCTGTAATAAAATAAACCAACACAATTCAAATGCTTGGAAAGATCGACCTTGAACTGAAGGATTGAGGTACCTGTTTAAGCTACTGTACCATAAAAATGTCTGATTAAGTCGTTAATAATTAAGTTCTCCCCCCCAAAAAAACTGTTGAATTTCTGTTTTACATAAGTACAGAAAAAGCATTGATTAAACTCCCGACATTTAAATCTCCCTTGTAATAAGGCCCCCTTCCCATGACCTAACGTGAAAAACCCCAGGGTTTTAAATCATGAAATCATTTGTATCTCCCCAATTCGTGTGTTCTTGAATACCATATGGTAAATACAGACAAAACTTAGTGATTGTCAAGGAAGGCAAAACGTACTGTTTGTCGTTCGCAGGCAAAATGTTCTTGTTAGAGAGATCCACACTGTCTGTCTTCTCTGATTCTTGCGTTTGATCGACAGCCTCTAAATATGATGACGATGACGATGACGTTGATAGCTGAACAAGAGCAGTAACAGACATGTCGCCATTTAGTGTTTTTATAGAGCTGGTATTCAGTTTAGCAGCTCCAGCATGTTCTCCTACAAAGCGACCCACAAGACCAACAGGGAAAACCGGTTTGTCCTGTTTACCCGGTGACGACACCAGCACAGTCATGGAGCTACCGCAATCAGGACAGAGTAGTTCGTCTGAATTGACTGGCTTGGTGAACTCTGTCGAACACTTCAGACACTGAAATTTGTAAAGAAAGAAGGAATGGCCGGGATATTAATATTTATCCGCAGATTGGAATATGGTTACCACACTAGCGACATTTTTTAAATAGCTAATTCAAAACAAGCAAGCAAACAAGGCTACGGGCACGTAGAGGACTGTGTTTGAGCCCGGGCAATACAAGGGGCACTTTAGGATCCGACGACGGGAATGTCGAGAATAACGTGGACTAAAAAAAGAACTTATATTTTACCTACGAATCTTGCGGTACTCTTAAGTCACTTACATTATTTCTCACTGTCAAAACTATCAAGAAACCGAATCTGGGACACAGCGATAAATTTGAAATAGAAATTTAAATATTAGCAATCGTGGTCCACGTTCTCTGAACAATGCTGAGTTTGGTCATTTTTTACGTTGTTGTTTTGCAGAGTACGCCAAAGAAATGTACCAGGAATTATAACGCACGTGCACAGCCATTGTTCTGCATTCCCGTTGCCATCGTGGTTTTCTTAAACTCCTTATTTTCAGCTTTCAGTATGAGTATGAGTATGAGTTCATGAGTATATCTGGTTTGTGACCCATTTATAACACACAAACATGTGGCATGCACGGAATTTGGGGAGCTTTTTACAATAGAGAGCGAACTGTATAAAACCAGTGTAAAGAACCGGCTATCATGCAGGTGATAACAAAGTAACGTGATTTTCGGCACACTGATAGTGCTTCTTATATCATGGTTGAGCTGTTCTTGTTTTTTCTCCACGAAAAAAGGACAATTATCAGGCTTGACTTCTCAACTGTCCAGTGAACAAGTTAATCTCCAGCGATAAACGACAAACATTCTTCTCGAGCTCACCTGCAGACGTTCCATGGCAGCTTCCTGGATTTGTTCATTTGCTGTCACAAATGGCTTCAAGCATTCTACAAGTTGCTACAGGAGCAAAACAAAAGTCAGTCTAAATGACTGTTTGTCCTGTTAGGTTAGGAGAGAACCTTGAAAAATTTCATAACCGTATAATTTCAACTAGACTATGGCTCATGTTTTCCTCTTCACTTCTTTTGTACTCTAGCCACATCCTTCCTTTTAAGATTCAGTATACGTTGACTATTAAATTTTTGTTCAGCAATTTATGTGCCTTATAGTGAAAATAAAATGAACTTTAACTCAACGCTGAATAATTGGAGCTTCGTCACGGTTTGCATGTCTTGAAAAGTTTAGCTTAAATCTTTCAAGTTCGTCGTTTGTAATCCGTGTTAATCTTCTCCATCCTTAACCATCCTTGTTCCTTTATGGTTTGCTATTATCTCTTTGGTGTTTTTCAATTTAAAGGTGATTTTGTATAAAAAATAACTCAAAATACCGTGACTGGGCTTGTTGAAGAAAACTTCTCAAACTCATTAATAACTCGTCAAGTTAAGACAAAGAAAATCACAACCGTGAAGGAAGTTTAGATACCCGGTCTTACAATGTAATTAGCATCGATTTTGACGATTTTACTTCTCCGTTTACTCTTTAGTTTTTGTTTCGATTGAGAAGATGTATCAAACATTCGAGACAGTGTTTCATCGGCTATCCAAACAACTCGAATTTCGTCAAAAATACTCCGGTGCGCGTCGTATTTTCAACTCTCTTCTCGGTGTTTGGATATCCCGATGAAACATTGTCTCTCGTGTTTGATACATTACTTACCACAGCAGCTTCATGATCTTCCATGACATAGTCCCGACTTTGTCTCTCCCGGCTGATGTAATCAAACCTCAGATGTGAAACAGGGTGATTATCAGCAGTCCAGCCTGTATTAACATCCCTCAGACAACTTGTTTCCAGCTGGGAAATTACCTGAAAATAGCAATGCCGCGAGGGAAGAACTTTTACGCTGTACAGTGGTAACTC